ACAACTTCCTCGATCCTACCACGTTCATTATTTTTCCACGCATGTTTCCAAATGCTTACCTATATCCACCTATTTACTTCAAAATCGACACGAAAAACTCGGCAAAAAAAAAATTCTCCAAACGTTACAGCGTGAACCAGTGGTCGTGGAACGTCCAAGAACAGTTGCCCGTTTAAAATTCCACCAGTCATTCTGGGATAATAAATTCCCGTAAAATGTGTAACGCTGCGCGATCATGCAAAACGACAGGCGTGTAAGTACTTTCGGAGCGGCATCGTTTTCATGGAAAGAATTCACTTGACGATTTTCCTCACGTGTCCCCGCCCGTCCTCGCGCGTGTCGTCTTCTTTCACCTTCGATCGAGCATCACCTGTGATTTTCCTATGGAACACCACACAGCCAAGAAAGAGGGAACAAGCGGAGAAAAGAACGAAAACGAGAGAAACGAGAAAAATGCCTGCACTCGCAGAGATTTTCCATATTACAAAACAACGTCGATCTCCCAATTTGCCTCTCGCCTCACTCCAATTCCCTCGCCGTTCAATTTTTCTCTCTCTCCCGTCGATTCAATTGTAATGGGTGACGTTGTTCGAGCGACTGGAGAAGGATAATCCGTATGTAAAATGAAGGATCGTTTCGTCATAATGCACCGGTGTTAAATGAGTATCTGCATAGGGAACACGCGTTGCCTGTGATACCAGTTTATAGAGTATGTTGATGAGGATTCCTCGGCGATTGCAGCTTTTTCTTCAATCGAATTCCTCGCGTCCGTTTCCAGATGCTTTCGAAACTCGCTTCGAGGAAGAGACTGCACAGAAAACTGTTATGCGACTACCTGAAAACAGGTTCGCATGAAAACGTAAACTCGTTTTAATGCCTGCCTCAATGCGTGTCCTTGTTCTGCCTTCATATTTATACATATCGCGAAACGCAGCTTCGGACCCTCGTTACTTTGTGCGCTGCGAAGAGGAGGGTAATTATGTTCGGTTAATTAAGACGTACGCTTGTGCTGTTCAAAAGTTTCCAAGTGATTAGCTTCACTCGCGTCTTACCGCCGATTCCAAGAATGCGAAATGTGTATTTCTACGACCTTCTTTATCGCCGATATTTACGATCCGAGGATCGTAAGATCATTTTCTTCCACTGAGACAACCCTAATCTCCTTCTTGGGCATACTTTCGTTTTTAATCGTTAGACCTTGCCCTAAATTCTACTTGTACATCGATATTAAAAGCTTAAATCTCAAGCGTTCAATATCCTTACGATACTCTGGTCCACAAATTTTCAAATTTTGCACTCATACTGAAAAAATGATATTTTTGATGGTGAGGAATATTTGAATAATAAATTATCGACGCCTTCAAGTCTACTTCCCTCTCACGACTCGGGGAAAATAATGTTTCAAATTACCCTGCGATTTTAAAAACCAAACATCTATTCTCGAGTCCCCTTTGCATTGTTTACCATTATGCAATAGTCACGTGTAGAGATTACGTAATATACGTTATCTTACGCTTAGCTTACTGAATTCGGGAATTTTTCTTTACACCCCTTTTGCTTTCACAGTATTAATAAATAAAATTACGACTGTTTTTCCCATACTAAATCTAAAATTATGCAATATTCTGATTATGCACATGCAGAGTTCGTTTAATTTTGGAAGTGGCAAAAGTCCTCTTTCGCGACTGTAATTTCGTTTAATTGGAGCAAGGATGCATCTCGACGAGAAGAAAACTATGTCGTGTTTGCTTATTGGTTGATATGTTTGTTGTTGCGAACGCGGCAGCGTTCATTGATGGGCCGAGTAGGCTCGTACGATGCGTATTTTCAAGCCCAAGTCTTAAAGGCGCCCTTACACTTGCCCGGCTGCTTGAATGGCCGACCGGAAGCGACGAGTTATGACACTTGACATCAAGTCTTAAACGCTTAAGTGTGGCCAGGCTGCATGATCACATTGTATTCTTCGACGCGCGCGAGTTTACGCTCGCTGTCGAGAAACATGGCCTGATTCTTTCGGTGCTTCGAGCTTGGCAAAAAAAAAAAAAAAAATGCCGGATATGATACGTGAAGAAAGCTATAGTTCGTTCGGTGGAATTTTGTGAAACGCTTATTTAATATTCCACCGCAGTCCAACGCTAAAATTGTGCTACGTGATCGCAAATTACTATCCGATCAGCCATTTTATTAATTTACTTCCGCGAGCGTAGATCCATTTTGTACGAAAAAATAAAGTTAACCGAGAAATGGATTAAAAATCATATTTTACAAATTGGACAAATTTACTGTAATTTGACAAGAAATTTTCAATTGATTCTAAAATTCATCTGTCTGTCAGAGATCTAATTTTCAGATCGCCAATTCTTTTCACTCGAGAACACGTTTCAAGGATCATAAAAACACTTCCTCATACCCATCTGCTGTAACAACGTTATGTCACATTCTTCTTAAACTTACATCCTCGTCATCTACATACGATTCAATTTCAGCTTCGCATCTACTTCAGTTCCAACGTTAAACATTCGCCATCGTCACACTCGTGTCTGATTCAATTTCAATCGTTCGTTCGTTGTAAAATACGATTTGCGGCGAACAACTACAGAGTTTCCCAGTGGAAATCGTGATTTCTCCCGATACACTTCGACGATCGAATTTCGTCTCGTAAGTCGAACGATCGAAGGAAACGAAAGGAATTCGTCTGAGCCACGACAATGAAGAGGTTCGTGTACGTTGACATTTTCTTCGTTCGTCTGCATCGTCTTCGAGCTCCAATTGCCCGTGAAATTCGCTCCACTCAATGAATCCGCACTTTCTCTTACGCTTCTTACGACCATTACGGTGCATTACCGAACTCACCGCCATTAAAGTACTGAATTATGCTTGCAACACATTTTTGGGTACGCTACACCGGTGGTTCTTGAGAAAGAGGAGTAACGCGCGATCCCAGATCTTTCTCTTTTCTCTTCGAGAGTGTCTGATACTTCTGACATTTTTTAATTCACTTCGTTGGAGAAAAAAAATAATAGAAATTTCAATATTAATTGAAAAAATAATTCTCAGAGAATATCAAAGAGTTCTCTCGAAGAGTGTCTCATATTTCTAATATTTTTTAATTAACTCCGTTGGTAAAAAAGAAACAGAAGTTTGAATATTAATGGAAAAATAATTTTTAGCCAATACAGTGCGATCTTAGAATTTTATCACAGATCTTTCTCTTCAAGTTACAACGACGAAGATATTTCTCATATTTTTCAAATAGCTTCGTTGATAAAAAAAAAACTAGAAATTTGAGACTTGATTGAAAAATAATTCGAGTACATTGAAAGGAACTCGAGGAAGCAATTAACAAGACGTGAGATCAGATTTCAGGGTCATCTACATTTCTTTCGAATTTATCTTTCTCTTCAAGACCAACTATTGCTACCAATATCCAAGAGAATTCAACGACCTATAACAACATGACCTTCGAGTGACTTCTCAGACACAGGTTTCCTTTCGAATCTACTTCAACATTTCCTGTTACGAGTACACTCGGCGGATAAAAACGTTGAAATTAATACCGACGCTACAATCACGTACGAAAATGTCTCGAGAGATCAATTTTTCTCGGTGATCTTTCAAACCTGTCAGTTTAGAAATTCGACGGATATTCGCCTCTGAAAAGAATTCTTTTTAACGCAGAAATGTTTATCGTTAACGTTACATCTTTTTCTATCCTCTTATTCGTCACTCCTCGTTAATTCAATCCTCCAAATTCTGCTTACTCCTCGTGCAAAGAATTCTTCTAATCAAGACTATAAAAGGACATGACGTTACCAGTTTCTCGGAAAGTTCAAACAAGATTAGAATTCATATTTTAATAAGCCCAATTATCTTTCGAGACAATTAAAAAGCAAAGATCTTCGACAAATTCCACGAATTCTTCCAGCCGAGACAATAAAAGAACATAACGTTACCATCTTTCCAAGGAATTAGGAATAAAAAAAAACTTAACCAAATCGCACCGAAAAACATTCAGACTCCACTGGAACAAGTGTCTTCCTTAAAATCGCCAAAAATCCAGCGGTTTACGTAAAAGAGCGTACGTCTGTTCGGCTGGTTTCGACGTGGAAGACAAAAGTAAGGTAAAAAGTGGAAGAGGAAAAAGGTTAGCAGAGTAAGAGTACAGGGAACCTCAAGGAGACGTGGCTGAATTGTGTGTGCATAGTCGTACACGATTTCGAAATCAATCCCTTACGCGTGTTCGGCCGAAAGACCTTTACGAAGACCTCGAGGTGAAATATATTCATGCCTCTGCGTCGGTTGTTCTCACCTGCAACGCCTCGCTACTCCCACACGGATATCTCTCTCACGGAATACCTGAATTACTTGCATCCTCATTCCTGAGCCAGCTCGTTGCAAGAAATAACTCGGACAGTGTAGACGAGGATGCGCGCTTACGCCATTTTTTCGCGATTCCCTATCGAGCGAAACCAGGGAAATTCGCCATGTTTATGGGACGTCTTTATTTGCAAATTCAAATATAATTTGCATATGTGTAATACGAATTTAGAAGTAATTTTTACGTTAGAATTTTCATTTTGAAAAATACAATATCCAAGTTTCACATATTTTTATGTATTTATGGTTATTGAATTTTTGGTACACTCGGTACATTAAAGCTGCAATTACCAACGAATATTAATTTCTTCTAACGTATCCTCAAAAGTTAAAAACTTCTTTGGAATACTCCAAAATTCACGAGTGTAATTGTAACGTGTCCCTGACTTAAAATTCCACTTTATTTCTATTTTCTCATTAGTGTATTTTCTCATTAGTCTTTTCACGAAAAGAGAGTATAATTCGATTAACAGTTAGGCTCCGCTGTTTTACATCACAGCAAGAAGTTTTACGCGGAGATATATTTAGTCGACGTTATCGCGATCTCCCGAGATCGTTATCAGTTAGCAATCAAAGGCAAAGCAGGACCGACTGAAGCTTGGATTCTTCTTATTTTCACTCAGGTCGGGGCGATTTTGTCGGAGGCATAGACAACGAGGCCCTGGACTTCTCGCAGTTGGAAGATTTTATCAACAGCGACAGCGAACAACCGGCCACGTAAGTGATTTTACTCTTGCATATAAATTATCTCCATCGTAACGT